TAAAGATGGTTAACAAAGATGGTCAGCAAAGATGGTTAACAAAGATGGTCAAAAAAGATGGTCAACAAAAATGGTCAACAAAAATGGTCAATAAAGATGGTCAACAAAGATGGTCAACAAAGATGATCAATAAAGATGGTCAATAAAAATGGTCAATAAAGATGGTCAGCAAAGATGGTTAACAAAGATGGTCAAAAAAGATGGTCAATAAAAATGGTCAATAAAGATGGTCAACAAAGATGGTCAATAAAGATGGTTAATAAAGATGGTAAACAAAGAGGTTCAACAAAGATGATCAATAAAGATGGTCAATAAAGATGGTCAATAAAGATAGTCAATAAAGATGGTTAACAAAGATGGTAAGCAAAGATGGTTAATAAAGATGGTCAAAAAAGATGGTCAACAAAAATGGTCAACAAAAATGGTCAATAAAGATGGTCAACAAAGAGGGTCAACGAAGATGATCAATAAAGATGGTCAATAAAAATGGTCAATAAAGATGGTCAACAAAGATGGTCAATAAAGATGGTCAACAAAGATGGTCAATAAAGATGGTCAATAAAGATGGTCAACAAAGATGGTCAATAAAGATGATCAATAAAGATGGTCAATAAAGATGGTCAACAAAGATGGTCAATAAAGATGGTCAACAAAGATGGTCAATAAACATGGTCAACAAAGATGGTCCACAAAGATAGTCAATAAAGATGGTAAACAAAGATGGTCAATAAAGATGGTCAATAAAGATGGTCAACAATGATGGTCAATAAAGATAGTCAACAAAGATGGTCAATAAAGATGGTCAACAAAGATGGTCAATAAACATGGTCAACAAAGATGGTCCACAAAGATAGTCAATAAAGATGGTAAACAAAGATGGTCAATAAAGATGGTCAATAAAGATGGTCAACAATGATGGTCAATAAAGATAGTCAATAAAGATGGTTAACAAAGATGATCAACAAAGATGGTCAACAAAGATGGTCGACAAAGATGGTCAACAAAGATGGTCAACAAAGATTGTTCATAAAGATGGTCAACAAAGCTGGTCAACAAAGATGGTCAATAAAGATGGTCAACAAAGATGGTCAATAAAGATGGTCAACAAAGATGGTCAACAAAGATGGTCAACAAAGATGGTCAATAAAGATGGTAAACAAAGATGGTCAACAAAGATTGTTCATAAAGATGGTCAACAAAGCTGGTCAACAAAGATGGTCAATAAAGATGGTCAACAAAGATGGTCAATAAACATGGAAAACAAAGATGGTCAATAAAGATGGTCAACAAAGATGGTCAATAAAGATGGTAAACAAAGAGGGTCAACAAAGATGATCAATAAAGATGGTCAATAAAGATGGTCAACAAAGATGGTCAATAAAGATGGTCAACAAAGATGGTCAATAAAGATAGTCAATAAAGATGGTTAACAAAGATGGTCAGCAAAGATGGTTAACAAAGATGGTCAAAAAAGATGGTCAACAAAAATGGTCAATAAAGATGGTCAATAAAGATGGTCAATAAAGATGGTCAACAAAGATGGTCAACAAAGATTGTTCATAAAGATGGTCAACAAAGCTGGTCAACAAAGATGGTCAATAAAGATGGTCAACAAAGATGGTCAATAAACATGGTCAACAAAGATGGTCAACAAAGATGGTCAATAAACATGGAAAACAAAGATGGTCAATAAAGATGGTCAACGGTACTTTTTACTAGGCTTAAAGGAAACACATCATATCACAAAGACTGTTCAATAGAGATAGGTTATACCTACGACAACTATCACTTTGAAATTAACTGATTTGATCACGGGATCTAAACGTGTGTGTGCCGCGGCAAAAGGGCCGTGAGATAAGCTAGGTGTGCCGTGAAACTTGTAATATTGCCGGTAATAATGATTCAAATAATTGCATTCAACTTATTCAACTGAGTTTGTTAAAAGGAAGGTGAGGAATATGAACGAACTTAAACTTATTGTTGCCATCTACTGCATTAGTGTGCCGCGGGAACTAAGTGGCATGAACAAAAATGGTTGAGAGCCACTGGTTTAGATCTTCCCCTTTCACTTTAATAAAAATTGGTTAGATTACTCCAACACACACCGGTTGGCTACAAACCGCCAAACAAGCATACCTTCCTTACAAACCTGTATAACCTGCTCGTACCGGCCAATCTAGCACACCTTCAATACAAACCTGTTAGCTACCATCTGCCAATCTAGCACACCTTCAATACAAACCTGTTAGTTATTACCTGCCAATCTAGCACACTTCAATACAAACCTGTTAGCTACTACCTGCCAATCTAGCACAACTTCAATCAAACTGAGCATGTTAGATTTACTCTCAGGAAACTGGTCAATTTTATTATTGGGCAGCGAGTCGTGGTCATCCCACTGCTTGACCTGAAACTGGACAGTAAAGAATCTTTCATTTTCCTTACGTAAATCAGACTTCTGCAGTAAGATTACGTCAGTAAAGACCTTCCAAGAAGGCGAACTACACGAAGAGAGTAGTCGCACAACGGTTTTAGAGCACAGCGGGTTTGGAGCAGAACGGGTTTAGGGCATAGCAGGTTTAGGACACAGCAGGTTTAGGACACAGTAGGTTTAGGACAAAGCAGGTTTAGGACACAGCAGGTTTAGGACACAGCTGGTTTAGGGCACAGCAGGTTTAGATATGTGCTTTCCAAACTTTTCATGTTAGCGACTCACGTTTTAGACATGCACCACTTCCCGAGACAGTAAATGAGCTCTATCTGTTTACTGGGGGTTAAATTAAACCATTTTGAGACACACTGACAACAGAATCAAGTGTAATGGCAGTGTCAAAAGGTCCACAATCAGCAAACTATGTTAGCACATTTTAGCTGGCAATCATCTGTTTTGGAATGCAGTTCCAAATTCCCTCCTTTCACTTTCCATTTCCGAATTCCTATTTTGTTCCCCATCTCAAATTTAAAACATCCCTTTTGTGTTCCTCTTCTCCTTGCAAATATTTTATCAAGATCAAGAGATGTCACTTTTGTGCACACATTTTGTTTTCATGGGATCGTACGATTTAGTTGGCTGGTTTCCCTCAAAATCAAATTAAGCATGATTTCTCTCCATTAGTATACGCAGTCTACCTCATCACACGACAAACAGACAACCTCATTACATGACAAGCAGACAACCTCATTACATGACAAGCAGACAACCTCATTACACGACAACCAGACAACCTCATTACACGACAAGCAGACAACCTCATTACATGACAACCAGACAACCTCATTACACGACAAGCAGACAACCTCATTACACGACAAGCAGACAACCTCATTACACGACAAGCAGACAACCTCGTCACACGACAACCAGACAACCTCATTACACGACAACCAGACAACCTCATCACACGACAAACAGACAACCTCATTACACGACAAACAGACAACCTCATTACACGACAACCAGACAACCTCATTACACGACAAGCAGACAACCTCATCACACGACAAGCAGACAACCTCATTACACGACAAGCAGACAACCTCATCACACGACAAACAGACAACCTCATTACACGACAACCAGACAACCTCATTACACGACAAGCAGACAACCTCATCACACGACAAGCAGACAACCTCATTACACGACAACCAGACAACCTCATCACACGACAAGCAGACAACCTCATTACACGACAAGCAGACAACCTCATCACACGACCAGTAGATAACCTACGGTGAACAAATCATGAACTGGAAAGAAAAGGGACACACCCAAGGAGGGATTTTTATTATTATTATTTTTTTTTTGTTGGTTGAGGGGCTGGGGGGTGGATACCCTTCAGCTAAAGAAGGGCCCGGGGGCCTCTGCCGGAAACTGTTTATTGAAATATGCTTATTTTAACTATTTTGAGACCTAGAACTTCTTTTTTTAATTTACCTTAACTTTTGTAATTTAATTTAAACTGTGAGGCATATCATAACGAAAACAATAATTTTGCAGTGAATAGTTATTAATTTATACTTATTTTACAACATAATACAAAGCAAACAATTTAAATGCAGCCATCAGGCAAGCCAACATCCCTACTGGCACTTGCTGCACAGCTAGCTAAAATATTACTTGAAGTTATACTATAAATTAGGAAGTTTTAGTGATTTGAAAATGTGTTTTGTTTTAGAAACGGGACATTTAGGCGTCTCGAGAGACTTTTTCGGAACACCGGGTACGATCGTGAAAAAACGAGACAATCCCGTTTATAAGGGACGTTGGTCACCCTAATATAACCTTATCACACAAAAAGCAGCTTTTTTACATTCTGACCCCCATTTCTACATTTAATTGAAGTCTTCTGCTCGTAATAGTTTTGCCCTTTTTAATGCCCTTCTAAATTCCGTTTTGGTAGGATGACTTCGTTTCGTGAATCGGATTTCCACATATTCACCACTGTTCGCCAGCCGCATCGGTCGTCAGCGATCATCCCCCATTCCCTAATTCCTTTGTTGGCTTCCCGCACGTTACCTTTACATATGTTCTCATAAGTAATGTACGTATAGGGCTTGTCATTTAGCAGACCGGAAAACGTCATAGCGTTACTATTTTTAGAACGTCGGACAAATATTGCTTAAAACACGGCAGCTAATTGCGTGTTTCAGTATATCGTTCGGACGACCCTTGTATCTAGAGTCAATGTTACTTGTGCCGTACGTGCAATGAAGTCTCATTTCAGAAAATAACAGTAAAAAATACTTGGGTAAAATATTTCGTAAAATATAGTTGTAAAAAAGTTTTTATTTAGGTTAAGGGCCCACTTCACTAACGTAGTAGTCCTGAAAAGTGTTGACATTTTGTCCGACCCGAGCACCCGGATGATTACAGCAGTCCTATTAATAGATTTCCGCCATTAAATGACAAGCCTTATAGAAGTATTATACTTGTGTTTCCTCAAATAGAACCTGGTATTAACAATAAATAACAATTTTAAAAAATCAATTTCACTGACGTGTCGTATAGCTCTCTTGTCCACGCCACCTTGGGTAGTGGTCCACAGTTTTAGATTCCTTGTTGTCATGGGTCCAGATCTCATCGTATTCACGTGCTGCACCTGCAGACACCCGAACTGGCGGACAAAGGATTTCGGGAAGTACTGTTCCTGATTGGGGCCCCGACATCCCCCCAGGTGGACGATGGCTTGGACCTGGATACAGGGGAATCACGTTTTGCTTCAAGATTTACATACATCCTAGTTGGTCCTCTTGTCTCTGTGTTGTATTGTCACCACCTGACTTAACTGTGTCAAAACTGTTATGTCAGAAAGTTTTCCTGTCACAAAATTGCATTGTCACAATATTGTCTCGTCATTAAGTTGTCACGTCACATTGCTGTCCGGCCGCAAACAGCCATGTCATCTTTTGATCTCGCCACTGTCTTGTTCTCCACCAATGTGTCCAGTCGCAACATTCGTCCATTCGCACAGCAGAGCAAATCCCACACAGTTTGAGATCCCAACATCGAATGATCAACCCACCTGGAACTCGTACACCATCCTCCAGAAGTCAACCACTGTGTGGTGCAGGGGTGTCTGTGTGATGACGTACTCACCCTTGCGCCTGTACCCGTCCACCACCACAGCGTTGATGTATTGGGTAAGCTTGACATCACCTCAAGCAATAGTAAACAAATATGTTTGCAATACACTATCAATATACGATTTTTAATTTGTTCCGTAAAATCAGTTGCATTACTTGCTACAATTTCCTATCATCTCATTTTACATCTTTTTTTTTCAAATCGATAAAATTACCCCCTATACATTGACTTGGGGTAGGGGGGAAAGAATTCATCAAAAAGACATTTGGAGGCCCTCTGCTTTTATAACACAATTACAACGCTTCCTCCACATATTTGGTAACGAACGAAAGTTATTAAATGGCAACTTTCGGCACCAAAACAGAAACAGAAATTCGGTCGGCCTCTACCAGGCAGAACTAACCCTGGCTTCACTACTGATGAGGAGGCCCTATGCGTTTCATGGACTTACTTTCATTGACTGGGCACGGGCAGTAGAGGTCAGCATGGACTTACTTTCATTGACTGGGTACGGGCAGTAGAGGTCAGCATGGACTTACTTTCATTGACTGGGTACGGGCACTAGAGGTCAGCATGGACTTACTTTCATTGACTGGGTACGGGCAGTAGAGGTCAGCATGGACTTACTTTCATTGACTGGGTACGGGCAGTAGAGATCAGGCGGTACGATTTTCGGGTCGACATTTTTCGTGGCATTCTGAGGACATGTGGGAGTTGATCAGTGTCTTGGGTATACAAATATGAGATTCACTGAAAGCTCTTTCGACAGAGTTACAGCTTTACAGAACCACAGGGCTAAGAAGCTACATCCGGTGTCCTCAGTTTACACCAACTCCCCTTCACAAACCAAATTTTTTAGAAAAAAATAATTCAAGAACTAATCTTTTTTCCAGCGACCACCATAATTTCTAACCCACTAAGTGACAACTGACCTCCTTCAACATTGCTACAGAGCACGCCCTTGACGTGAGCTCTGGTGTGAAGTTGAGAAGTAATCTGAACTGATCCATCAGGAATGTGAAGTCTGAGGACAGGCGGAATTATCGGTACAGACATTGGTAAATTATCGGTATAGACATTGGTAAACTATCGGTACAGATATTGGTAAACTATCGGTATGGGCATTAATGCCACATCAGCAAGATTTATACTTTGGCACGAAAATAGCGTGAACGAACCAAAAATACACCATCAAGTAAGATAGAGGTAGATTAAGTCATGTTTCCTGTTTTCCAAAGGTCGAAGAACAACAAAACAATAATCACAAAGTTAGCAGCACAAAGTTATGCTCCAGGTAGGTATAAATGATGCTACACCTTCACGAGGTCTTCAGTCACTATGTTTCACAAACTTATGTTCCCAATCAAACTTCCTATAAATGACTTATGTGTTACTTTTCCCTTAAACAAAACGAACATGTTTCGTTTATTATAAAGGAATTACGATAAGCTCCCATTTTCTAAAACAATATCCCCAATAATACATACATATTTAAAGGGAGTTCATCTAGAGAAAGAGAGAGAGGGGGGGGAGAGAGAAAGAGGGGAGAGAGATGAAAGAGAAAGGGATAGAGATATGTAGAGGAAGAGATAGGGTAGAGGGGAGAGAGAGGGAGAAAGAGAGAGAGAGGGCGAGAGAGGTGGGGAAAGAGAGCGAGAAAGAGAGGGGGAAAGAGAGGGGGAAAGAGAGGGAGAAAGAGAGGGAGAAAGAGAGGGAGAAAGAGAGGGATGGGGACGAAGAGAGAGAGAGAGAGAGAGAGAGAGAGAGACAGAGAGAGATAATTTAATAAAGTAATAATAAATAAAACCAATCAAGTCAATGCTACCATGAAATTTCAGACTCGATGAAAAAACAAAACAACTAAATTGTTCAACAGAACTAATATGGAGACAAGGTGTCAAATTGGTGTGACAATCAGTCCCTGCTCTTTGACATGTCAATAGTTCTAAATATACATTTGTTTTGTTTTATTTAATTAATGTAAGTTAATTAATTTTTTTGAGTTCATGATTATGTTTGTTAAATTGTATATACAGCGTGGTGAGCCCTAGGCTGGGGTACCACGCTATATGAAACCACTTAAAATATAATAATAATAATAACATTACCCGATTGTGGATTTTTCTGACACAACGCCTTGTATCTCTCCCTTAGGTCTGTACGTAGGACAGTGTCCCCGGCTTGGAACTCTTCAAACAGACATTCGTAGATAAATCTGTACTGACTCAACGTGCGCACCATAAAAGGGCGCGACTTGCGCATTCTCTTAACAAAGTTATACACGTTGACCTGTTTTTTTTTTTGGGGGGGGGGGTGCAACAAGACAATATAGTTTCTTATTTTTTTGATATATTGTTGTGTTGTTTATATTACCGTATTTCTCGGAAAATAAACCTTTTTTCACTTTCCCCGAACCCAATTTAAAGAAAATAATATTTTTTTTAAAGCAATAGTGCTTATTTTCATGATTTTTTTTTTTCCACCAAAAAATCTAACTATATTCCTCTACTACAACAATTAAGGCACTTCTTGTAAAGACATCCTGCTCACAGTGAATTGGCAAATATATATCATTGATTTGATTGTGAAGTAAGCCTCGAGTTCTCTTAATTTAACCGGTATTTTTCAGTCTAGGTCTGATTTTTTGAAATATTTTTTGGGGGTTAGGGGGTGGGGGGCAAATAATGTATACTACTAGAATCATGAATCCGTGTTAGGTCTTATTTTCTCAACTCAAAGGACCCGGTCATAGAGATAAGAGTGACATCATTCTTTCAAATACAATTGACAGTTTTCAAGATGTATATTTTTTTAAATATAACATTTTAACGTGCTTATTGTTGGCGCCGTACATTGTTTTAGCTATACAGACCCGCTCATTGCTTTCCATTCTTTAAGGCAGGCCTGCACAACATACGGCCCGCGGGCCACATGCGGCCCTCCAGCACCCACTTTGCGACCCGCGAAGTAACGAAATATTCTTTATTCTTATTATTTTCTAAATAGCTTTTCCACCGTCCTATTTTCTGTTGGCCCGCACAAGTCCGTTCCTATTTTCGTTTGGCCCACACAGGTTTTTCATAAAGTATTACGGCCCACCTTACATTTTGAGTTGTGCAGGCCTGCTTTACTGTACTGAAATACTTCCAACTGTAATCACTGAGCAGCTCTTATATATCTTTGGCTTCTGATCTGCCCTGCTTTCTCTTCAAATCCGGCCCTCCTTTCGATTCCATGTGTTTTATATTATTAGTACTGAGGGGGGTAAAAACCAAAAAAGGCTGTCACGCTGCTGCTACCGACATGCGTGACGTTAGAACTCCGCTAAATAGGGTGATTTTTTTTTTAAATTTAGGGGACTATTATTTTAATAAATAAATAACGAAGGGTATGGTGTAGGACTTTCTGTCGAAATGTCGACAGTTAGGATGTAGGACTCTCTGTAGGCTTCTTGTTTAAAGGCCGGCAGGTGGGGCGTAGGACTGTCGGTAGGCCTATTGTATAAAGGTTGACAGGTAGGGCGTGGGACTGTCGGTAGGCCCATTGTTTAAAGTCCGGCATATTTTATATAAAAGGAGAAGTTAACTTTTTTCTTTAACACTTGGACCATCCGATATTTTCTGAAAGATCTGGACCCGTTGTAAAAGGACTACGCCGGGTTAAGCCCTAGTCAAACATGATATAATGAGACGTTAAGGGGCAGAGAGCTCTTCTCTAAACCAATAGTAGCTAAGAAGTATTAAGGAGAGAAAGTAAGACCATGTCGACGCACACATCCGTCCCGTCCATATTCCTCTATGAGCAGGTCCACCGCGATGTACACGGCCGAGCGGGCCGCACCGGTCCCGCAGATCACCAGGATGGGCGTGGTCCTGCTGCCATAGTAACGTCGAACTCTGTACCTCAGGTCCAGGAGGGGAATGGGATCGTCGGGGACGCCGTTGGTGGGCCAGGTCATGAACTGAAACTGGGTCACGATGACCTCATCGGCACACGAGGAGGTGAGCTTAAGCGTTCTAAATCATGTTTGAAATAGATGGCATAAGAGATAGATCACATTTGATATAGATGACATATAAAATAGATGACATATAAAATAGATGACATATAAAATAGATGACATATAAAATAGATGACATATAAAATAGATGACATATAAAATAGATGACATACAAAATAGATAACCCTTGAAATAGATAACATTATAATCGATAAAATTTAAAATAGATAACAATTTAAAATATATTAGATTTCAAACAGCTAACATTTAAGGGGCGTCCATAAAGTACATCACGCTCCAGACGGAATTATTTTCAAAAATTGTGTGAAATATTTGAAATAGTTTTATGTCAAATAGCATGAAATCCGTATCTCCTGAATGTGTTGTTGACGATTCCTCTCGCTAGGAGCGCTAGTGTGCTGTTGCCAAGCCTTTTTTGATGTGTAGCCTTGCCGAGATCAACAGGAGTTTTCAAAGTATGATCTTTCAAAGTATGATCTTTCAAAGTATGATCTTTATTGTCCATCTTTGCAGACCAGCTTACTTGATTGAATTTGAAAAGTATGTCACTTATACTTTGCCTCACAAACAATTGTCCAAGAAACATGCAGGACAAGACAGAGCTCGGGCGAATGTGCCAACTCAAACTGTTCCAGAATCAACTCAGATAAAACGCATCAGTCCTTTGAGAACCACTGTTAGGAGGCAAAGAGAACTCATGGCAGTTATTGCCAGTAGAGAAATTGCGCATTCAGAGGATGTTGAGTGGCTAGATGAGGATGAAGTTGATCTGTCTGCAATTATCCTTCCAGGAAACGATGATGGTGAAAGATTGATGCCAGTCGTAACTATGGATGAACACTTCACTTCACCATGGATTGATGATGTCCAGGGAATATTTTTGAATTAAACATAATTAACAGGCCCATAATAAAAAGATTCAATATAGCTGATGATGTCCAGTGAATATTTTTGAATTAAACATAATTCACAGGCCCATAATAAACAGATTCAATATAGCACAAGAGTTTGTCACATAATTTGTCAATCTAGTCTTTCTTTAGAGAAATTGTTTTGTTTCCTTTTTATTATTTAATCACTGGGTGAGGTCAAGTTTCACTAATCTACTTCTTATCCTGTGTAAAGAGATTGCATAATCGGAAATTATCTAAAACTTGACCTCACCTTTTGTAAATTAAAAAAACTGCAGATAAATGATGTGTATTATATAATTGTCTAGTCTAATGTTTGCCATTTTTGTTTTCAAATTCAATCTAGATTGAGTGATGGCTTCAATGAATAACTGTGACAACTGTTGACAGTTAACTATTCCCCTATTAAAGTCATTTTAATAATATAATAGTTCTTTTAAGTGGAAATTTTATATTTTAATACAGTTAAATCGTGAAGTGTGTTTTAGATTAAATTTAAATTAGGTGTTATTTTTTTTTAAAATGTGTTCGAAAGTGTGAGGGGGGCCGGGGGGGGGGCATTTCCGAGATTTATGACAATTTTTGACAGGGGGAAAAAAAGGGGGGGGCGGGCTAAAAATGGTCAAAAATAGCGTGACGTACTTTATGGACGGCCCCTAAAATACTTAGTATTTAAAACAAGAAATACTTTACAGATAACTAATAAACCAAGCCAAAGAAAATAGGCAGGACGCAGCACCATAACTCTTACACGACATGTACACACCGAACGACAAAGTCAGCGTAGTGGACCTGGGACATTGTCTCCACGAGCACTTGACCTCCAGCGTAAACGCCCGTGCTGGCCCAGAACTGTTCGGATTTTATGATGCCTCCTTCCACGCATGCGCACATCATCACAATAGTTTGTACCCTGTGCACCAACAAGACCTTTAAACGTTAAATGTGTATTTTGTAGAGTGCATGAGCCCAAGAGAAGACTTTTTTTTTTGGACAGAGAGAGGAAAAAATTGTCTTTTTAGATGGACGGATCTCAGAGAGTCTATGCCCTAGTCAGGAGTAAAAGGCATAAGTGAAGTAAGTGAAGATAGATAGCATTGTCCTAGACGGGGTAAAGGAATAAGTGAAGTAAGTGATGATCTCAGACAGGAATTATGATGTCCCCCAAAATTCATGAATGGGCATCTATAGTCCTCTTTGACGGGCAACAGTCGGCCATCTTGGTCAACAAATACATGAGAATAGGGATGCCTTACTTATTAACAGTCAATTAATTATTTTAAAACTCCAAACTTGTTAAATGCGATCCAAAAAAGTAATGTTCAGATTGTCTCCTATCCTGCTAAACTCACTCCCCCTTTCAATCCCAAACTGACCCATTTTCCCGCAAACGTTCCCTGGCAAGAAACCCCTGGCATGACCCACTTGTTCTGTAAGACGAGCCTCCAGAAGTCACTGACTGTGGCCGGAGAGAAAGGCGTCTGGGCGGCGATGTAGTGGACGTCCCCACCGAGGTCCATGTAGCTGGCGTTGTAGTAGTCGGCGTCCCCGGCCGCTACCATCTCCACGGTGACCCGAGTGTCGTCTGGCGGAAGGATGTAGTAGAACCTTGGGGGAGGACATGGCAAGAAACGGCCTATCATTTACGACAGTAGTTATCCTAACAAATAAATGGCTTAAATAAAAAGAATAAAACATCCTTACTGTTCGGTAACATCTCTCAATAAATGTATGTGTTTGTTCTGCCGTTTAATTTGTTTTATTTTTAAATACCATTTTGGTCGGGGAGCCTCAATGTCCACCCGATTCTCCTCTGTTGCTGTGAACCAAATTGGCATCTCTACATTTGAAAATGACCAAAACGTTTATTGAGAGGTGGCTAAGCCCCTTCCCTGCCCACCCCTCCGTAAACTTGCAATGTATGAAAATCTATGGACACTGAAATATTTGTGTATGTTACCTACATGCCAGAGTATTTGTGTATGTTACATACATGCCAGAGTATTTGTGTATGCTACAAACATGGCAGAGTATTTGCGTATGTTACCTTCATTCCGGAATTAGAGAAACCAAAGGATTTTTCAAAAAATAATTAATACACTTTTTGATAATATTTTCTGCACAGACTTTCAAGAAATGTTCAATATTTCTCTGCGTTTGGGTGCTTTTAACTCGCCGCTGAAGGGAAGACTTTTTAAAAATATTTTTAAGTTTCAAACAAAATTGTTTTATCTTATTTTTAGCATTAAAATTGTAATCTTTAAATCGTCGAAAAAAGAATAATTATTTACTATTATAAAAATATGCTTATAAAATCCTGGTTGAAGGGACTTAACTCTTTATCTAGGCCTAAAACTTTATTTTAAAAAAAAGTAAATATGAGCTCAGCCACCCACCCGTGCACTCAAATTAAGCCGACGCAGTCAAGATAACTTGAGCGACAGTGTCCAACCGGCTCCGTCGGCCAGGGACTCTTTCCCAGGCGTTTGCCAGGTGATGACTGCACGAGAAATCTTAAAATGTCACGGCGTGAAAAAATATATATATATAACACTCCAACCCACAGACAAGCTGTAAATGCGAGTAGAAGTCAGGACCAGTTGCCTAGGAAGGAGGTGACCCAATTGGCCAGACAAGCTGTAAATGCGAGTAGAAGTCAGGACCAGTTGCCTAGGAAGGAGGTGCCCCAATTGGCCAGACAAGCTGTAAATGCGAGTAGAAGTCAGGACCAGTTGCCTAGGAAGGAGGTGACCCAATTATTAAGACAAGCTGTAAATGCGAGTAGAAGTCAGGACCAGTTGCCTAGGAAGGAGGTGACCCAATTGGCTTTTAAATATTTTTTTTTTTTTTACATGGAGGGATAGCAGGAATTTGTTCGGTGAAGGACATCGATTAAATTGTGGGCCGTCCCAGCGGGAACTAGCCCTTGCCGTCCCAGCGGGCACTAGCCCTTGCCGTCCCAGCGGGCACTAGCCCTTGCCGTCCCAGCGGGCACTAGCCCTTGCTGTCCCAGCGGGCACTAACCCTTGCTGTCCCAGCGGGCACTAACCCTTGCTGTCCCAGCGGGCACTAACCCTTGCTGTCCCAGCGGGCACTAACCCTTGCCGTCCCAGCGGGCACTAGCCCTTGCCGTCCCAGCGGGCACTAGCCCTTGCTGTCCCAGCGGGCACTAGCCCTTGCTGTCCCAGCGGGCACTAGCCCTTGCTCTCCCAGCGGGCACTAGCCCTTGCTGTCCCAGCGGGCACTAGCCCTTGCTGTCCCAGCGGGCACTAGCCCTTGCTACGCCACATCCTTGGACTATTTATTTAAAGGCCATTTATCCGGCACGTAACATCAGCTCCCTACGCTCTTCTACATGCATGCAACTCGGGGTATTTCATATTCACATATTCACATACTACCCATTGGGGCCATTTTTGTGAAACAATATCGATCCATTTGAGAACCACGTAACCATTGATGTGCGACTCGTAACTTAGTTATCCTCACCTGTTTTTATCGGGATTTCTCAAAGCCACATTAAACGATAGGGTCCCCATCAAGTGTTTCTTGTACTTCTCGAGGCTCAGGAACTCGTCTTTGAAAGTGACTTTGTCGTGGAATTGAGCTGTGTGCCACAATGGTAAGATTACTTCTATGTGCCACAATGGTAAGATTATTTCTATGTGCCACAATGGTAAGATTACTTCTATGTGCCACAATGGTAAGATTACTTCTATGTGCCACAATGGTAAGATTATTTCTATGTGTACAACAATGGTAAGATTACTTCTATGTGCCACAATGGTAAGATTACTTCTATGTGCCACAATGGTAAGATTATTTCTATGTGTACAACAATGGTAAGATTACTTCTATGTGCCACAATGGTAAGGTTATTTCTATGTGTACAACAATGTTAAGATTACTTCTATGTGCCACAATGGTAAGATTACTTCTATGTGCCACAATGGTAAGATTATTTCTATGTGTACAACAATGGTAAGATTACTTCTATGTGCCACAATGGTAAGGTTATTTCTATGTGTACAACAATGTTAAGGTTATTTCTATGTGTACCACAATGGTAAGGTTATTTCTATGTGTACCACAATGGTAAGGTTATTTCTATATATACAACAATGGTAAGGTTATTTATATGTGTACCACAATGGTAAGGTTATTTCTATGTGTACAACAATGTTAAGGTTATTTCTACGTGTACCACAATGGTAAGGTTATTTCTGATGTATACAACAATGTTAAGGTTATTTCTATGTGTACCACAATGGTAAGGTTATTTCTATGTGTACCACAATGGTAAGGTTATTTCTATGTGTACCACAATGGTAAGGTTATTTCTATGTGTACAACAATGGTAAGGTTATTTCTATGTGCCACAATGGTAAGATTATTTCTATGTGTAAAAACAATGGTAAGGTTATTTCTATGTGTACAACAATGGTAAGGTTATTTCTATGTGCCACAATGGTAAGGTTATTTCTATGTGTACAACAATGGTAAGGTTATTTCTATGTGCCACAATGGTAAGGTTATTTCTATGTGTACCACAATGGTAAGGTTATTTCTATGTGTACAACAATGGTAAGGTTATTTTTGATGTGGGGTGAAAGGGGAAATCTAGACGTTAGGAGGGTATCATGAGGTGAAGCTAGAGGTCAGAAGTGGCGTGAAAGGTTAAGTTGGGTGTCTTTAGTGGTGTCAAAGGGTAAAGATAGAGGTGAGGAGTGGTGTCAAACTGTAAAATTAGAGGTATGTAGTGGTGTCAAAGGGTAAAGTTAGAGGTCTGTAGAGGTGTCAATGGTAAAGTGGGAGTGTTGTAGTGGTGTCAGAGGTAAAGTTACAGGTCTGGAAAAAGAGTACAGGCAGGGATTTAATCTTTCATTGGTTGCTTATGTGTTGAAGAAAGCTGCGTGGAATATTCAAATCAGTGAAATTATGACATGAAGAACCTACAATTGATTTGACGTTGAAAGGTTGATCCAAGAAGATGCCAGATCTTACCGTACGGGGCCATTCATTAATAACGTCACACAGCATCAGAAAGGGGTTGGGTTGGGTTGGGTTGGGGGGGGGGTACGATTTGTTGTGACGCTCTATTAGGAGGGTATCTAAATTGCGTGACAAACGTTTGATAATTGGAGAGGCGGAGTCCGAAAATGGCAAGAATAGCGTGACGCCATTCACGGCCGGCCTTAATATAAAGCTAAGGATAACGGTGACGCCATTCACGGCCGGCCCTAATATAAAGCTAAGGATAACGGTGACGCCATTCACGGCCGGCCCTAATATAAAGCTAAGGATAACGGTGACGCCATTCACGGCCGGCCTTAATATAAAGCTAAGGATAACGGTGACGCCATTCACGGCCGGCCCTAATATAAAGCTAAGGATAACGGTGACGCCATTCACGGCCGGCCTTAATATAAAGCTAATGATAACAACTTTAAAAACACTTTGTCGATTTGATCGTTGTGTCCGGGGCATGGGAAAATCTTCCTTGTATGGCCCATCAGCATACTTCTAGATTCCTAATTCCTGCATTTATGATGATTTGTTCAACACTTCCACTCTAAATTGTTCGCTCCTAAATTCAAATGTGGCTGTATCACTGGGAAGAATCAAATGCTTACTTGAGCTCCACCGGGTCCCATTTTTTCACTCACAGTGTTCCCACAGACAAGTTCATTAAGACGAGGATGTATGAAAGTTTAACTTTTAGGAATATTTAGCTTTGTTAATTCTGTTGAATTTAGTTTGTAAATCTTTGTCAACATTTTAATCCACTCACTTAATTTTTATTATTTTTTTTAAAAATAAAATAATCTTAATTTTTAAAGAGTTTAAAATGGTCAACAATTCCATGCAGTGTTTATCCTGATTTGATCGTCTCTTGACCGGCTAAAATGTCCATGCAGTGTTTATCCTTATTTGATCGTCTCTTGACCGGCTAAAATGTCCATGCAGTGTTTATCCTGATTTGATCGTCTCTTGACCGGCTAAAATGTCCATGCAGTGTTTATCCTGATTTGATCGTCTCTTGACCGGCTAAAATGTCCATGCAGTGTTTATCCTGATTTGATCGTCTCTTGACCGGCTAAAATGTCCATGCAGTGTTTATCCTGATTTGATCGTCTCTTGACCGGCTCAAATGCAGCATTGATTTTTTGTATCATGTTATTTTTTTCTAATGGAATGCATTCGTATAATTGGAATAATCTCATCGATTGTGTGTAGAACTGATTGATCACGTGACTTCCTTTGGCAAATTATTACAGAAAATTAAAATTTTGCCAGACTACAACTAGCGTACATTTAAAAAATAATTATTTTTAAACTTAAGAGAAGTGTAACCTTCTTAGGTTCCCATTATTATATCATAACTTCTTCAAAATCGCATTTTCGATTTTTTAAAAATATAATCAATAAATTGAGAATGATTTTTTTTTAAAGTTGATCGCAACACAAGTTAATGTAGTAAAGTCAGACTTTTGGACGGTGACAATTGTGACCTGAATTAACTGTTAAACAATGACGTCATTGACATGCACACAATGAATTTGATGTAAAGAAACTGCAACGCAAACTCCAAAATAGAAGAAATCCATCTTATTCAAACAAAGATTTGTAAAATAGAATAAAATAATAGAGAGGAAATAACGGCCAGAGCGCGCTTCAGTTCCGGAGAATTCGCACCAAATTTGGCTGCGTCTCTTTACGTGAATCTCTGTATCTTTCTCTCTTGGCCTCATTGATTTTGTTCTAGTTTACAAACCGACATTTTTTTGTGTTTTCAACGTAAACACTAGTACGCACATGCGTGGCGATTCGGCGTCTGCCTTTCTCTCGTCGGCGGCGCCTCATACTTCCGGCTGTAGTTCATGTTCATCAGGGGCCGGGGGTAGACGTGGTAAGGCTGCAACTGGGGAACGCAAGTAGGGATGTGATTTGCCAAGACGGGGTATCGGGGCGTGACCTGTGTGAGGGCTGGGTACACGACGGGGCTAACGGTAATCGGATACGGTAAGAACCCAGGCACCGATCCTTGAAGCAGTGGACCGTTGAGTTTCTTAAATTTGTCAATGCTCCAAGCGTTCTTTTGAACCGCTGTGTCAGACATGCTTCTTTCCGGCCTTTTCTTGACGCCGTCCTTCCCGTGGTTCGAGCGATCAAAATTTTTTTCATCCGGCATACTGTCACCTTGTTTCGCTTCTTTCATCTTTTCTGTGGTTTTCTTCGCGAATGGCCAAAACGAAAACCATCGTTTTTTCGGTGGTTTGCTGCTGGCGGCCTCCTGGGGCGTTGCGACATTTGGGTATTCCGTCATTCCCGAAGATTGTTGACCCGTCTCAACCTCAGGGTTGTCTGTTTTAGGGGACGATCTCTGTGGTGATGGATGCGAAGGCGTGGTCCTAGTTACTTTGTTAGGTGTGGTGTAACTTTTCGCGCAGGTCTCCACCTCTGATTCCATTTCCGATTCAGTCTCTGACTCCCCGTCTCCTGACTCCGTCACCGATTCATCGTTTTCTGAATCATCCGTGTCATCGTCATCTGACTCTTCATCTGATTGGTCCCCTTGTGGTGCACTGTAGCGACACTGCAATGCCCTGTCCGGTGATCTGTTACTGCTCAAGTCACCCTCCGCCATCTTTGCTTTTGCCCACCCACCCTTTCTGTTATTACTACACGGGACTTCTTTCATGCCTGACTTTGCTCTGCTGCAGGCGTGCTCCGTCGCGTCAGTTTCTCTTCTTTTCTTCTTTCTAAACACAAAAGACACCGACTTCTTTGTACTAATGGGGAATGCGGTGTCCACTCTGTCATTCGGATTGCAGGAATTTCCAAAGCTACATTGAAGTTTAGACGCATTTTTGAAGATGTTACCAAGTCCTTTGCTATGTTTACCCCAGTGGCGTTGCATTCGTTTTCTATCGACATTTTTATTTGCTGACCCCAAAATACCAAAATCCTTATCAGTGACGTCACTCATAACTTCTCTGCTAGACACGTCACCATCACTTGCACACGAGTCACTTGTAGTCCCACCGCATCTTTTCCCGGCCTCTTTGTTAGTTCCTTTCCCTCGCTTCCTCAGCAGACGAACTTTACCGCCCTCACCACCTGCACCCACGAGTTCTCTCCTGGTCTTTACATCCCCATCGTCGGTCGGACGCGGGCTTCTCAGACATCCATTGCCGTCGGCCGAGTCACAGTTGTTGTTGGCGTTGCTGTTAACCACGGTCTTGGAAGGGGCGTCCTCTTTCTCGGGGTAAGCCACGGACTTCTTCGTGGGAACATTGGCTATAAAATAATTGGCCAACTCCTCAAGTGACTTTTCGTGTTTGACGTCCTGTCTCGCCTTGTCCGAGGTCGTCGGTTGCGATATCTTGGGGAGACCATGCAGGGATCTGTCCAAGTCCGACTCGCTTTCATATGGATAATTTTTATCGTCCTCTTTGCATTCACAACAACAGCAGCAGCAACGACGGGTGCTGTTGTTGTTCTGGTCGACCGGGTTGCATTCGTGGCACGGGCCCCCATAAGGAGCTGTTCCTTCGTCTGAGACCATGACCTGTTCCCATTCACGGAAGTCGTGGTCGAGGGTCACGCCCTCTGCTCCCACCTCACAAACGTCGACCATTTGCCAATGGTCAACATTAAGACAGTCGCAGTTGTTGTCGCTCGATTCGACCATAACGTTATAACTTTGAAAATCCCACCTGAAGAAGTCTGTGCTGTGGCTCGTGTCTATGACACGCTGTGCTTTGCGCGGGTGCCTGGAACTAGCAGTCTCTGAAAACAGACTTAGAGTTTCACGATGATCATACCCGACACTCTGAAGTCTGCCTTTCAGACCCAGGTTTTGGAGTTGCTCTGTGTCCATAGAAACAGTGTGCTCGTCCATTCGCTGCATGTCCCTGACATTGACAGGCACGGCCAGAGCACGCTTCGCACTCGGTGCACTGAGACCAGATTGGGTTGGGGTGTTGTCCATTGAAGATATAGGGTCAAATGGCCTTGAACTCTTACAAATGAAGGTCGACTTGAACATTGTTTCAGATCCAGGTACAGAGCTACAACCTGCGCCCAGTCGGAACGCTGGGATGTTGCTGGGTCTGTTCGTGGGGCGTGGTGAATGGGGAAGATGAGAAAAGTTCGTTTTGGAAAAACTGCATGCGGAATCAGGCAGGCCACCGCATGCGCACTGGTTGATCTCCGCGCCCGGATCGTTCAGGGCGATTGTTTCTATGTCACTGGCGCTTGTAGGCGAGCCACTGCATGCCGTGGTGTCCACTGCTGCCGAACCATCAAGGTCAGTCGTTTCTTTGTCTTGGACTGGGAGGCCATGGAACCATGACAGGTCACAATCTTGTGAACCGATTCTGATATCCTTGTTGTTATTGCTGTTGTTGTCGTCCCTTTTCGAACATCGTGATGAACTCGAGGAATAGTTCTTGAGAACATCATTGACGAAAGATTCTATCAAATCGCTCTTTCTACCATCGATATCAATGCATTCAATATCTTTCTTCCTGGGTTCGATCTCAGCGCACAATTTCTTTTCATTCAAAGAAATTGTCAGCAGACCACCAACCCGCTGGAAATGTTCGCTGTCAGCATCTTTTGAGTCGCAAAAAGGTTTGATGATAGCGGTCGTATCGGACTGAAACATGTCCGAAGTCCAGACTTTGGAGCTGAAAATGTTTGTCGTCAACGTTGTGCCGGGTGTGAATACATTTAGTCCAGGCGAAATCCTTCCTTGACTGCACGCACGGTTATCCGCATCCTCGAAGGAGTCGTCCACATTTCTAGAATTATTGTTGACGTCCCAGGACAGCGCAACCTGCTCCGGTCTTCTCTGTTTCACAACTCCTGATTTTGACGGTACAGCTGGAGTGCGTGTGGTAGATCGTGAAACTTGCAAGCTGTTTGGACAGAACGGCACACTTTGAGCCATCCCGTGTTGATCTTCATCGGATGAACCGTTGAGTGGGCTGACAGGGTCGATCAAGGCGTAACCCACACCCGAGTACGCCCGCGGAGGACTGTCGATACAGCTCGACTCAAGGTCCGCCTCGTCCCCGTCGGAGCCGTCGGAGCCGTCGTTGTTAATGCAAATCTTGATGACCTCATCTTTCTGACAGCGACTGGAGGTCCGGGCAATGTCGACGCCCCCGGGAAGCAGTTGTCGCGTAAAACTTTCCTCGTCTGCTGGACATATCATGGAACTGTGGCTGCCGACTGTGGTGTTGGTGCTCGCGGGCGACGCGAACCTACCGCCACGGTTGTTGTTGATGTTGTCGCTGTACTCCCAGTGGGCTGGCGGGTGACCATCACAGTCACAGTCGGATTCAACGTGTTGAAGGTCCGAGCTAGAGGTCAGGCTGCAAGCCTGCCCGGACACCATCGGCCTGAGGTCGGCGCTGTTGTTGTCGTCGGCGTCCGACAGAGCCTTGTTCCTGTTGTCATCGTACATGATGTTGTCTCGCATGGTGGTGATGTACCTGTGGGGAGTAAACGACGCCAGTTTTAATCCCGTTGCGGGTATTATTTGCCAAAAAACAATAATAGCCAAGCATGTATGGACTCCACTTGAATGACTTTCTAAATGATGAGTGAGAACTATAAAAAAAAACTCAAAACAGTTTTTAGACCTATTTATGGATTTTTAAAAATCAGTGAATTTAAATATGAGGGGAATTCAACAGCAACTCTCTGTAGAGTGACATTACCAGACATCTGGTAAGATATTCTTGTTATTTTCCTAAATATATTAATGTCACATCTTAAACAGTTTCATTTAAAAATGTTTATTGATGATTTGGACAATTTTGGAAACATTATTAGGCTCGCGATTTCAACACTTTTAGTCTAGAGCTCAGCTGCATATTCGCTTGTTCTGGAAATTTAATTTTAAAACACATATCACCTGGTGACACTACTTGAGACATACTTTGGCTGACCCACCGATTTGGTGGGATTTTAAGACATATCTTGGCTGACTCACCGATTTGGTGGGATTTTAACACATACCTTGGCTGACCCACCGATTTGGTGGGATTGAAGAACTGCTCAAGTTTGGAGTTCGCCTTTGCTGGCCTGGAGAGAAAATCACTGGAGTCTCCGACCTGGGGAAACAAACGGATTACATGGTGTGAGGAGTGGGTTCAGCTCTATACAGGAAATAGAGCGGAGTCGCTAGAAGGACATTTACACTTAGACTTACTGTCAAGCCTTTTAAGAAATATTACATTTAATAAAGGGAAACGATATGTGAAACATCGGCTCCTAAAATGTTTACTGGATTATCTCTCTTGAAATTCATTTATCTGAACCTTGACTTGTTCAATTAATGTGATCTACTCAATTTTCTCGATGTTGACGTTTCATGATATGTGCTAGTTATCTCTGAACCCATTATCATCTAGGCAACTTTTCTAGAAGCAATTCATATTATTGGTTATTTGCTTGGACTCTTTCATTATAAAGATTATATCGATTATTTTGCGGAGGAAAAAAAAAGACAAGGGAGAAAATCCCGACTTAGCTTTTCACCTGGAAACTGAAACAGCACGACGCCTACCATATAATTACATTTACTGACGGAATCGGTCTCATCAGTTACCTGCGCACCCCCAGATAGACTGTAAATTACCTGTAAGGGCATTGGTTACTCCACATAAATACATACCCGTAACTTACTTGTAACTTACATGTTAGGGCACTGGTTAAACCACATACATATCTTTATCTTACCTGTAACTTACCTGTAACTTACCTATAACTTACCTGAAAGGGCATTGGCTACACCACATAATACATACCTGTAACTTACCTGTAACTTACATGTAGGGGCATTTACTACACCACATAAATACATACCTGTAACTTGTCTGTAAGGGCATTGATTACACCACATTCATATCTGTATATTACCTATAACGGCATTAAGTACAACCATGGATGCATATCTGTAACTTACTTGTAACGGCATGTCGTAGTCCTCATTAGATTCCTCGTCCACCTCGTCATTGTTGTCATCCATATTTTTCTTCTTCCGTCTGTCATCCGACTCAGATGCCTTCTTCCTTTTCTCTTCCTTTCCCGCCATTATAAGGTGACTGTAAACGATAAGCCAAAAACTTAAATATGAATAGCGACCAAGGAACACGTTAGAATTATCCAGTATCAAGTGGAATTGAGTTGTGATTAATAATTTTCATTAATACGTGAGATACGAGCCCCACAACAGACGTGTATATCTACATACACAAATTTATATATATATATATATATATGGAGAGAGAGAGAGAGAGAGAAAGAGAGTTATATATATAGTTACGACTTGGGCGTCCCCATAAATTGGCACCTGGGCTTCTCTCCCACACCCCAACCCCCTTTTAGCACGGCCCTGTGTATGGAAATGTGACAATAAAAATTTAATTTTTAAACAGAATCCTTTAAATTGAGGGATCTTTGTCAAGTCGTATTAGGAAATTTTTAAGAAAGAAATTTGTGTCAAAGAAATTTGTGTCAAAGAAATTTGTGTCAAAGAAATTTGTGTCAAAGAAATTTGTCATCGGAATTTTTTTTCAAACGGATTCTTTAAAAAAAAGAAATAATGAAAGAAAAAAATTCTCCAACATCCTAAATATCGCAACATTCTCCAACATCCTAAATATCGCAACATTCTCCAACATCCTAAATATCGCAAAATTCTCAAATATCCTAAACATCCCAAAATTCTCCAAAATCCTAAAAATCCAAAAATTCTCCAACATCCTAAGCATCCCAAAATTCTCCAAAATCCTAAAAATCATAAAATTCTCCATCCTAAACATCCCAAAATTCTCCAACATCCTACAATCCCAAAATTCTCCAATATCCTAAACATCCCAAAATTCTCCAACATCCTAAACATCCCAAAATTCTCCAAAATCCTAAACATCACAAAATTCTCCAACATCCTAAAATTCTCCAATATCCTAAAGATCCCAAAATTCTCCAACATCCTAAAGATCCCAAAATTCTCCCATATCCTTAACATCCCAAAATTCTCCAACATCCTAAACATCCCAAAATTCTCGAACATCCTAAAATTCTCTAATATCCTAAAGATCCCAAAATTCTCCAATATCCTAAAGATCCCAAAATTCTCCAATATCCTAAAATTCTCCAATATCCTAAAGATCCCAAAATTCTCCAACATCCTATACATCCTAAAATTCTCCAACATCCTCTACATCCTAAAATTCTCCAACATCCTAAACATCCCAAAATTCTCCAACATCCTATACATCCTAAAATTCTCAAACAGCCTAAAACTCTCCAATATCATAAATATCCCAAAATTCTCCAACATCCTATAAATCCTAAAATTCTCCAACATCTTAAACTTCCCAAAATTCTCCAACATCCTAAAATTCTCCAATATCATAAATATCCCAAAATTCTCCAACATCCTATACATCCTAAAATTCTCCAACATCCTAAACATCACAAAAGTTTCCAACATCCTAAAATTCCCCAACATCCTAAATATCCCAAAATTCTCCAACATCCTAAAATCCCCAAATTCTCCAACATCTTATGAATCTCCAACACCACCAAACATCCCCAAAGTCCCCAAAATCCCAAACATCCAAAACTTCAAACACCATCAACATCCTCAACGCACCTAACATCACCAACACACTTAAAATCCCCAACAGAACTAGTATGCCCCCCCCCCCCCCAACACTCCCCTGTCCCAACCCGCCCTCAAGCCAAGCCTGTCCTGACGCCAAATCAAATAGAAATCACAGAACGAGTCAGATCCATACGGGTGTTGCCATACAGCTACAGATGATACAAGACGAATTATTGGGTGCTTTTGGGGAATATGGGGGGGGGGAGGGGGGAGGTGGGGGCTACGTTACCAAATCTTTCCTCCCACAGTTGGACTTGATACAAGATTGAACTCTCCATGTTGTTTAAATCATGACTTAAAAGAGATGACCATGTAGATGACTCACCGAATGAAATCATGACATAAAGGAGATGACCATGTAGATGACTCACCGAATGACGAAAAATCCCATGATAATGAAGAGCAACAACAGAGCTGGTATCACTGCTGCAAGTATTATGATCTTTTCTCTCGCAGTCATTAATTCTTCCTGTTAAAAAAAAAGGAATTCTAACCCATGAAAGTCATAATGACATAATGGTTATGCCCCTATCCCTCACACACACACAACATAACGCTTCACACCATCATGGCAGTGGTGCTTAAATATAACAGTATGACGCGAAGGTCAAGGACAAGGGACTCTCAATCTTTTGCGCCGCAGCCCCCCCCCCCTCTCGATTTCAGAACATTTCCTTCCACCACGCTCCCTTCCCCCTTCCCCGATGTCCTTAAGTTGACAGGTTAGTTAAATGCATAAATATTCTTTTTTATAAGTTTCATTTACCGCTCATTACATTTAACCATATTTAATTGAGCCGAAGATCACAGGGGAGATTCGCAAAACATTATTTTTTAAAGGTGTTCGTTTTTCTGCAACATCGTGTTCTTTTTTTAATTTCTTTTAATATCAAGATGCATCAGATTTGACACGTACACCAACATTTTTTATTTAATGCCAAATAGGATCATCTGGCCATAAACGTTTAGCTAAGGACAACTAGAATCAGCAGTCAATCAACTTTTAGTTAGTGACACAGGTACACTCTAGCACCGGTACACTCTAGCACCGGTACACTCTAGCACCGGTACACTCTAGCACCGGTACACTCTAGCACCGGTACACTCTAGCACCGGTACACTCTAGCACCGGTACACTCTAGCACAGGCTCCCTGGTTAAGAGCACATGCTCTAGGCTCAGAAATATTTCAAGGAAATACAGTTTACACTATGCTTCGCTCTTAAGTTGGTGAAATTAGTTTGCTCCCCGCACAAATTCAGAAGTTATCGCCTCTTTGGGGCCAGATTTTCAATCATCTTCAGTGGGTAACAGTTATGGTCGTTATAATTTTCAACAAAATATTGATACACTTTAGTCATTTTCAAGAAATGACACAACTTGCTTCTCATATCTCCTTACACATAACGTTCTGCAAACAGCTTCCTACAAACTACTTCCTGCATAAAAATTCCTAGACACAAAGTCCTAAATACAGCTTCCTACACACTACTCTCTGCACTCAAATTCTTACACAGAGCTTTGTACACACAAAAATTCTACACAAATAATTCTACACTCAACTTCCTACACTCAACTTCCTAAACTCAACTTCCTACCCTCAACTTCCTTCTGCACACATACCTTCTTTCTACATACTACTTCCTTCTACACAAAACTTCCTTCCTATAGATCCCAATGCATGTTGAATTTTTAGACTTTACAAAACGTGTTGCATGGGGTCCCCCTTATATTATCTACACGATAGTTTACACATAGCCCCCAATCATAGGATCCATTTAAATTACTTAGTTACCCCATAGCTCACAGAAAACAACTTCGCATAGGTTCCATTTCAAATAGCCCAGTTACGCCATAGCCCACACAAAGTCCCAAGCCCACAGGATCCCTTTAAATAGCCTATTTAGGTCACAGCTCACAGACAGTCTCTTCTCATAGGTTAGTTACGCCAAAGCTCACACACAGCCCCCTGTATTAGGTTAGTTACTCCAAAGCTCACACACAGCCCCCTGTATTAAGTTAGTTGCCCCAAAGCTCTCACACAGCCCCCTGTATTAGGTTAGTTGCCCCAAAGCTCAAAGACAGCCCCCTGAATTAGGTTAGTTGCCCCAAAGCTCACACACAGCCCCCTGTATTAGGTTAGTTTCCCCAAAGCTCACACACAGCCCCCTGTATTAGGTTAGTTGCCCCACAGCTCACACACAGCCCCTTTCCTAACTTTATAAATATTCAGCCCTATGTCCCAGAACCCACCTTTTTGCGCTGAGTGAAGGCGGTGGTGGTGGCCAGGACGTACGCGTGCTTGGTCACGTCCACCACGGTGCTGGCCACTACAAAGACGATGCCGTACTCCGTGTCCGGCTCAAGGGCCTGGTTCCGTTTGCCGTAATACATCTTTTCATCGCCAATAGTCACATACCTGGGCAAGCGGAAACAGAACATGTTTTAACATTAGGCTGACAAGCAGAGACAGAACATGCCTTAAATATACCATGATTGACAAACAGAAACAGGACATGTTTTAACACATACCTTACAATACCTGCATAACTAAAATGTATTAATTACATCGCCAGCATGACTAATATTTATTACTTACACTGCCTGTGTGACTAATATTTATTACTTACACTGCCTGTGTGACTAATATGTATTACTTACACTGCCTGTATGACTAATATTTATTACTTACACTGCCTGTGTGACTAATATTTATTACTTACACTGCCAGCATGACTAATATTTATTACTTACACTGCCTGTGTGACTAATATTTATTACTTACACTGCCAGCATGACTAATATTTATTACTTACACTGCCTGTGTGACTAATATTTATTACTTACACTGCCAGCATGACTAATATTTATTACTTACAATGCCTGTGTGACTAATATTTATTACTTACACTGCCAGCATGACTAATATTTATTACTTACACTGCCTATATGACTAATATTTATTACTTACACTACCTGAATGCCTAATATTTATTACTTGCACTGCCTGTATGACTAATATTTATTACTTACACTGCCTATATGACTAATATTTATTACTCACACTGCCTGTATGACTAATATTTATTACTTAAATCGCCTCAATGACTAATATTTATTACTTACATTGTCTGACTAAAATGCATAACTTACGTAGCCTCGCTTAAGTCATTGTTCGACAACTCCAACCACAAGATGCCTGGTGGACTCCCAAACGACCTCTTCGTTCGCGGCCTGCCGTAGAACGCTCTTCTCTCACGCCAATCTCCGTACCTTGGGTCCTCTCCCACCGTTTGTTGTCTACCTTTGAAGCCCGTCTCGCCACTTTTCAGCCCAAACATTTCGCCGGCTTTCCCTAACGTCACGTCACTACTCACGGAGACTCTCCCTAGAGCGTCTGCCCCAGGTCTGGTATCGTAACGTGGATGTGGCCGTGGTTTAGGCAGCGCTCCAACAGCCAATGGTTCAGTTCGCTTGACCGTGTCCTTATTGCAGTGGGTTAGCACCAGATCTTTAGACGCCCCTAGGTTTCCTTTCCATTCTCTGAACCACACCTTGAGGGAGCACTGTCGGGCACTGAAAGGGGCAACTGCCCACAGAACGATACGCCCATCGTTAGGTTCTAAGGCCATGGGACTTGTGTTGACGTTCGGCAGGTCGAACTCTGGAATTGATCGCTGTGAGTAGAAGAACGCAAATACTAATAGTAACACTGACACAAATAGTACTAATAAAAATAGCTACTGAAGTAAAATACTTGTATCTTATATGATAACGATAATTAATATACAATAATGATTCAAAATCTTTAAAGTTACTAAATATCCGAGTACGATTAACAATTCTGATAAATGTCATCTCGCCATGCCTATGAGTACAACTAACAACTCTGAGAAAAGTCATCTAACCATACACCTTTAAATACGACTAACAACTCTGAGAAATGTCATCTAGCCATACACCTTTAAATACGACTAACAACTCTGAGAAATGTCATCTAGCCATACACCTTTAAATACGACTAACAACTCTGAGGAATGTCATCTAGCCATACACCTTTAAATACGACTAACAACTCTGAGAAATGTCATCTAGCCATACCTTTAAGTACACGTGAAAAGTATCATCTAGCCATACCTTTAAGTACACGTGAAAAGTATCATCTAGCCATACCTTTAAGTACACGTGAAAAGTATCATCTAGCCATACCTTTAAGTACACGTGAAAAGTATCATCTAGCCATACCTTTAAGTACACGTGAGAAGTATCATCTAGCCATACCTTTAAGTACACGTGAAAAGTATCATCTAGCCATACCTTTAAGTACACGTGAAAAGTATCATCTAGCCATACCTTTAAGTACACGTGAGAAGTATCATCTAGCCATACCTTTAAGTACACGTGAAAAGTATCATCTAGCCATACCTTTAAGTACACGTGAAAATTATCATCTAGCCATACCTTTAAGTACACGTGAAAAGTATCATCTAGCCATACCTTTAAGTACACGTGAAAAGTATCATCTAGCCAAACTTTAAATACACGTGAAAAGTATCATCTAGCCATACCTATAAGTACGACTATTAACTCTCAGCAACATACGTCATCTAGTCATAATGACACCTAACGCAATCTAGCCATTATGTCATCTAGCCTTAACGTCATCTAGCCATAGTGTCATCTAGGATAAAGTCATCTATCCATAATGTCACCTAGCCATAAAGTCATCTAGCCATAGTGTCATCTAGCATAAATTCATCTAGCCATAGTGTCATCTAGCCATAACGTCATCTAGCCATAACGTCATCTAGCCATAGTATCATCTAGCATAAATTCATCTAGCCAAAGTGTCACCTAGCCATAAATTCACTTAGCCATAAATTCACGTAGCCATAACTTCACCTAGTCATACCTTTCCCACGGGCTTAATGATGGGCACTTGATTCCTCTGGGGCAGGGGTGGGCCACCCGCTGCTGGTCGAAGTTTTGGTGCAGCACCAATACCTGCTTCATCCAGGAACGAGAGTGGCACGTTAGGCTGGAAAGCCTGTGAAATAAAAGGTCTTGTCAAATGCGGAGGGGGTTATTTTGGAGTGGTCATTGGTCATTTTGGCGTGGTCACTGGTCATATAGGAGTGGTCACTGGTCATTTTGGAGTGGTCATTGGTAATATGGAGTGGTCACTGGTCATTTTGGAGTGGTGTTTGGTAATATGGAGTGGCCATTGGTCATTTTGGAGTGGTCATTCGTAATATGGAGATGTCACTGGTCATTTTTGAGTTATCACTGGTCATTAAGGAGTGGTGATTGGTAATATGGAGTGGTCACTGGTCATTTTGGATATTTTGGTAACATGTCTTAGTAATTGATAATGTGATGTTGTCATTGGTAATGTGAAATGGGTATTGCAATATGAAGTAGTCATTTGTGATATGAAATAGTCATTGGTAATTTGGCGTAGTCGTTGGTAATGTGGAGTGGTCATTGGTGATATTGGAGTGGATATTGGTAATTTTGCACTTTCACCACATTGTTAACTAATTTTACAAATTGCTCACACTACTCAATAAATCATTTTTTTACGTCTTAAATAAAATGTCTTAGCCCACTGACTGGTCTACTTTCCGGGCGATGGGGCACAGCATGTCATGTCACCATGTCCAATCAGCATGTCCAGTCATCATGTCAGTCACCATTTACAGTCAGCATGCACTGTCAACATGTCATGTCAGCATGCAATATCAGCATGTCCTGTCAGCTTGCAATGTCGCCATCTCCAGTCAGCATGCAATGTCACCATCTCCAGTCAGCATGCAATGTCACCATCTCCAGTCAGCATGCAATGTCACCATCTCCAGTCAGCATGCAATGTCGCCATCTCCAGTCAGCATGCAATGTCACCATCTCCAGTCAGCATGCAATGTCACCATCTCCAGTCAGCATGCAATGTCACGATGTCCTGTCAGCATGAACGGTCTGATAACGTATACCATAACCATGAAGTGCAATACATCTCTCACATTTTCACCGAAAGGATGTGGGTCCTTGATGGTGTGGTTATGCAGGACACGCAGCAGCCGGATCTGGTAGGATGTGATGGGTCCATTGTCGAATATGACAGGAAATATTTCGACGGTGATCGTTGACGTCGTCACCTGAAGCAAACGAAAAAAAGAAAGACATTGGGTTAAGCATTGTAATGGTTCACTTGGCACATGCTGTAACCAAACCAACGGGTGTATTCATTGGTTTAGATCGACATTCGACATAACTATTACCTGATAACAATATCCGATGCCTGATACGTCACACCACATCCAATACTACTCACAGTGCGAACCACCGGTGGCCGAGGTTTGGGAGGCACCATTCCTTCTGTCCACATCCTTGACCCGAGCGGGTGACCGATTTGTCCAGTCTCCTTGACCACGCTGACGGTCACCGAGTACTGCGTGTACGGAGAGAGGTAACACTGGAGGTGGTCGAAGCTGTCTCGGTTCACTGTGGCACTGATCGGTAGCAACTTCTTGTCCAGTGTGCTCAGAGAGACCTGTACGGAGGGGGACAAGGGAAACTGGATTATAATCATACAATTATTAGTTCTATGCTTTCATAGTGACCTAGGTGCAGATAAGGAGAGTAGATGTCTTCGACCAGGCCTGCGCCACTCAAAATTTAAGGTGGGCCGTAATACTTTATGAAAAATTTGTGCGGGCCGAAAGAAAATAGGACAAGGGGGGGAAGCTATTAAGAAAAAAAATAATAAAGTATATTCCGTTATTTCGCGGGCCGCAAAGGGGGTGGTGGCGGGCCGCATGCGGCTAGCGGGTCGTTTGTTGTGCAGGCCTGTCTTAGATAATAGATTGCAATAATAAAAACAAATTTGTTAATAACAGCAGAGGGATGGAAATAGGTTTGACAGTGCTGAAACTGACAGCACCACTAACAGTGGTGACACTGACAGTACAATTAACAGTGGTGACATTGACAGCACCATTAACATTGGTGACACTGACATGTATAGTTATGGATGGAACTTTCTTTTTTAATATCATTACATTCTTTTGTTGTAGTTTGTAGTGTTGTGTCTAACTTATGTCAACCAAATTCAGCTGGCAAGACGACTATTAAACAAGGTCTCTAAAATGGGCTCCAAGTCTCAGAACAGTAGGCCGTACATCTAATAAGAGTTAAAACAGATGACTCTTATAAGCAACGTCACATCTAATGGTATTCACTTGTGTACCAGTAACACTTATTAACACAAAATGATTTTTTTTCTTTTTTATGTTTCAAACAACCAACCCACCAGATACGAGTGTATAGCAGTGGAGTCTTTGATAGGCGGGGCCCAGTGGAAGCCAATACACGTCTTATTGGCGAAGGTCTGTCGCAGTGCCGAGGGGCTGGGCTTGATCTCAAACTTGGTGACGACCTGGATCTCATAACTCCACTCACCCCACCCAGCGGCGTTACGGGCACACGCCTGTCAACAACACCAGACGAGATCATTAGTGTGGGGGGATGGGTGGATGTTGGTGGCGGGCGTAGGTGTGGCTGTGTCGGTGTGGATGGATGTAGGTGTGTGGGTGATGTGGGTGTGTGTAGATGGGGTGTGTGTGGGTCTAGATGCGGGTGTGGGAAACAGGTGTAGATGTGGATATGTTGGTCTAAGCGGATGTGGGTGTAGATGTTTGGGGTGTTGATGAATGTGTAGATGCCTGGGGTGTGGATGTGGGTGTATATGTTTGGGGGTGTGGATGTCGATGTAGATGTTTGGGGTGTGGATGTGAGTTTAGATGATTGGAGTATGGATGTGGGTGTAGATATTTGGGGTGTGGATGTGGGTGCAGATCTTTGGAGTGTAGATGTGGGTGTAGATGTTTGGGGGTGTGGATGTGGATCTAGATTTTTGGGTGTGGATGTGGATGTGGATGTGGATGTTTGAGGTGTGGATGTGGGTGTAGATGTTTGGGGTGTGGATGTGGATGTAGGTGAGGCGAGGTGGGTCTCCGTGTGCATGTGTGTGTGGTTATAGTTATTGGTGGGTAAGGGGTGTGGGTGGTTGGAATGCGTGTAGGTGTTGGTATATGAATTGGTTGGTGGGTTGATATAGGATGTGTGTGGATGGCCTCGTGTGGGGGCGTGTCTCAGTGTGTGTGAGCGTGTGAGTGAGAGAGAGAGCGCAATATGAAACAATGCATTTATTTAGGCATTTTTTGTATAGCGCTTACCTTACAGCTCTAAGCGCTTTACAATTATTAAAAAATGTTTACTCAATGAATTAATGAACAAAACGGTCCATAACAAGCTCAAGTTTAAAACCGTGTCTTTCTTTAAATCAACCTTTCTTAGACCATTGACTAGATCATTGTGTTGGGCCAGTTTGGTGTGTGTCCTTGTTAGACTATTGACTAGATCCTTGCTTTGGACCAGTTTGGTATGTGTCCTTGTTAGACCATTGACTAGATCATTGTGTTGGGCCAGTTTGGTATGTGTCCTTGTTAGACTATTGAATTGACTAGATCAATGTGTTGGACCAGTTTGGTATGAGTCCTTGTTAGACTATTGACTAGATCATTGTGTTGGACCAGTTTGGTATGTGTCCTTGTTAGACTATCGACTAGACCATTGTGTTGGACCAGTTTGGTATGTGTCCTTTTTAGACCATTGACTAGACCATTGTGTTGGACCAGTTTGGTATGTGTCCTTGTTAGACTATTGACTAGATCATTGTGTTGGACCAGTTTGGTATGTGTCCTTGTTAGACTATTGACTAGATCATTGTGTTGGACCAGTTTGGTATGTGTCCTTGCTAGACTATTGACTAGATCATTGTGTTGGACCAGTTTGGTATGTGCCATCGTTAGACCATTGACTAGATCATTGTGTTGGACCAGTTTGGTATGTGTCCTTGTTAGACTATTGACTAGATCATTGTGTTGGACCAGTTTGGTATGTGTCCTTGTTAGACTATTGACTAGATCATTGTGTTGGACCAGTTTGGTATGTGTCCTCGTTAGACCATTGACTAGATCATTGTGTTGGACCAGTTCAGTTTGGTATGTGTCCTTGTTAGACCATTGACTAGATCATTGTGTTGGACCAGTTCAGTTTGGTATGTGTCCTTGTTAGATCATTGACTAGATCATTTGTTGTACCAGTTCAGTTTGGTATGTGTCCTTGCTAGACCATTGACTAGATCATTGTGTTGGACCAGTTCAGCATGGTATGTGTCCTTGTTAGACCATTGAATAGATCATTTGTTGTACCAGTTCAGTTTGATATGTGTCCTCGTTAGACCATTGACTAGATCATTGTGTTGGACCATTTTGGTATGTGTCCTCGTTAGACCATTGACTAGATCATTGTGTTGGACCAGTTTGGTATTTGTCCTCGTTAGACCATTGACTAGATCATTGTGTTAGAACAGTTCAGCATGATATGTGTCCTTGTTAGACCATTGACTAGATCATTGTGTTGGACCAGTTCAGCATGGTATGTGTCCTTGTTAGACCATTGACTAGATCCTTGCGTTGGACCAGTTTGGTATGTGTCCTTGTTAGACCATTGACTAGATCATTGTGTTGGACCAGTTCAGCATGGTATGTGTCCTTGTTAGACCATTGACTAGATCCTTGCGTTGGACCAGTTTGGTGTGTGTCCTTGTTAGACCATTGACTAGATCCTTGCGTTGGACCAGTTTGGTATGTGTCCTTGTTAGACCATTGACTAGATCCTTGCGTTGGACCAGTTTGGTATGTGTCCTTGTTAGACCATTGACTAGATCCTTGCGTTGGACCAGTTTGGTATGTGTCCTTGTTAGACTATTGACTAGATCATTGTGTTGGACCAGTTTGGTATGAGTCCTTGTTAGGCTATTGACTAGATCATTGTGTTGGACCAGTTTGGTATGTGTCCTTGCTAGACCATTGACTATATCATTGTGTTGGACCAGTTTGGTATGTGCCCTTGACATATTTCATTATATGTTTTGTGCATGCATTTTGAATATAAAGGGCGAAGGTTTGGGAAAGGAAAACGCTTGTTTGACGTCAGTCCTACAACATCTACTTGTGACAACACATTGAAATCTGTAACACGACAGTAGTATTTTACACCACTCTACTCTTCTTCTTCTGTATTTTGAGGGCCCACGATCAATGCATTGATCATTCTGCCATTCTACTGCGTACTATAGTTATAGAACTTCAATGAATCCTTTTCAGAGAGAAGCTTAATCGCTCATTGAGTCATTTGATGACGTCATCAGACTGCTGCTGGCTGGTTTATTAGTTTGGTCAGGATAGACTTAGTGACGTACCCGTATCCTGTACGTCGTGTTGGGTTTGAGATTACCAATGACGTATTCGGTGCCATTTAAAGGAGTGTACAGGTTGGACATGTGGTGGACACCTCCGGTCAGCTGGGGAAAAAAAACAAAGTTGAACAGGAAAAGACAATTTTTTTTTCTTAGTGATTATTATGATTTTATCAACGTTCATTAAAAATGTGTTATTTATTATATATTTTATTCTGGGTCATTTCAATTTCACACTAAGACTCTAAAAACACATGTTTTGTGTAGGGGAGGTTCCGAGGAATTCTGTACAGGTTTTTGGCGCCCGGTCGGTGAAAAATGGCTACAGAGCACTGTATTGATACTTAAATCTTAAATATAGATTTTTTTTCAATGTCTTTGGAGTTGGTACCCATGGTGCACCCCACTCTTTTCTTTACGCCCCCTTTCCTATGTCTCCCGAACTCTCGTAAGAATTATCACGAGAAGTTAATTGTGCAATAATTTGCCTGTGTCCCAAAACTGCTTAAAGGTAACCAAATGGAACAGCTCACCTGGATGTGATACTGGTCAATGCGTCCGTTGGGCAGCACCGGCTGGACGATGATGACCCCTATGGTGGTGTCGTCGTATGTAAAGTTGTAGATGATGGGTGCAGACGGGGCTGGTGAGGGGGTAACACATTGGAGATGTGGATTGGTTGAACTCATAGCACGAAATCAGCAAACAAAATGGAAGTTTCGACATTAGGAAAATTGTTTTCTTAATTCGTCGTAAAATTTCACTGGACTTATTACTATCTCACCGAAGACCGCCCCCACCCCCCAACAAAAAAAAAAAAAAAAAATTATGTTCAATGTGTTTGAACGGTTATTTCAGTGTGTCCAGGTAAGATATTGTTTAAACCGTAAGGTAGGCCAGCCAAGAATTCAGTGTACGATAACTAAGGCGACTGACAATAAGGTTTGAGGCAAGTTCACACAAATTACACGATGAATCCCATATCTGAACACATCTAACCTAGAATTAATATACAATGAGTGGTCTCGAACACTACGTATGTCCCTGTGTTGTCTCAAACACAACTGACGTCCCTGTGTGGTCTTAAACACAACTTACGTCCCTGTGTTGTCTTAAACACAACTTACGTCCGTGTGTTGTCTTAAACATAACTTACGTCACTGCGTGGTCTCAAACAAACTTACGCCCCTGCGTGGTCTCAAGCACAACTTACGTCCCTGTGTGGTCTCAAACACAACTTACGTCCCTGTATAGTCTCAAGCACAAAGTTACGTCCCTGTGTTGTCTCAAGCATAACTTACGTCCCTGTGTGGTCTCAAACATAACTTACGTCCCTGTGTGGTCTCAAGCACAACTTTAGTCCCTGTGTGGTCTCAAACACAACTTACGTCCCTGCGTGGTCTCAAACACAACAAAAGGACAGAATGGTCCCGAACCCACGCCGTTGACATAGCGGACACGGATCTGATACCTCGTGTACGGGGTGAGATCTGTCAGTGACACATACTCTGAGTTGGCTGACATGAACAGGACGCTGAAATAGAACGATGCAAATAAATAAAGCGACTCAAAATGTATATTCGTTTCGCTACTTTTATGTTTAGTTGAATTTGTCAAGGTTTCTCTTTATACCACACTAATGCTTTGGCTGAGGGATGGAACAAGATAGGTGCCCCCCCCCCCCCGGGGGATGGGGGTGGAGGGGAGGCGCGTACAAACTGCAGTCAGTCGGGGAATTAAACGTAGCAGTGAGATCTGACTTGGGAGACTTGTTGAACATAGAGCAGGCTTGAGGCCGATGAGCCCAATCTTGAGGACGATGGGCCCCGTCTTGAGGCCGATGAGCCCCATCTTGAGGCTGATGGGCCGCATCTTGAGGCTGATGGGCCCCATCTTGAGGCTGATGAGCAGTAACTTGAGGCTCAGGAGCAACAAAGTGTAATTATTGCTGTTAATAGCTATTTAGCAATGTGTTATTCTTGCTCTTCTTAACTTTTATAAAAATGTGTATTTCTTGCTTTTAAAAGCTATTTAAAAATGTGTATTTCTTGCTTATAATAGCTGTTTTTAAAAAAAAACAGTTATGTTGCTGTTGACAGCTATTAAACAATGTGTAATTTTGGCTGTGGATAGATTTTTTTTATTTTATTTAAAATGTAGTGTTATACTTGCTTCATTGGTGACGTCACTGGAGCCATTTCAATGTCGTACTTGTAGAGCAGGCCGCCCTTGGACTCACATAGCGGTGGCTGCCACACCAGCTGGGCAGAGTTGGGCTGGACGGAGATGGGCTCGATATTGAACACGGTGCCAGTAGGAGCTGCAAAAATATGTACAGAAGGACAGGTCATGTGTTTGTTTAGACAAAGACAGATCACGTGGTCGTCTAGACAAAGACAGGTCCCGTTGTCGTCGAGACAAAGAGCGCTCACGTGGTGGTCGAGACAAAAAACGGGTCAAAAGGTCGTTTAGGCTAACACGGGCCTAATGCCTATGTAAAGAAAGACAGTGCACGCGGTCATGTAAACAAACATGGGACATAGGGTCACGTAAACAGGAGAGAGGTCACGGGGGTCATATAAACAATGCACCATTAACAGGGTCATGCAAACAAATTATCGTATATCAAGGGTAACAAACCTTGCCGTGCATGTGTCTTTTGTACCAAACCTTTACTTACTTCTGTCATTGACAACAAACATTGACTTACTTCTGTCATTGGCAATAAACATTGACTTACTTCTGTCATTGGCAACAAACATTGACTTACGTCTGTTATTGGCAAAAAACATTGACTTACTTCTGTCATTGGCAGCAAACATTGACTTACTTCTGTCATTGGCAGCAAACATTGACTTACTTCTGTCATTGGCAACAAACATTGACTTACTTCTGTCATTGGCATCAAACATTGACTTACTTCTGTCATTGGCAACAAACATTAACTTTCTTCTGTCATTGGCAGCAAACATTGACTTACTTCAGTCATTGGCAACAAACATTAACTTTCTTCTGTCATTGGCAGCAAACATTGACTTACTTCAGTCATTGGCATCAAACATTGACTTACTTCTGTCACTGGCAACAAACATTGACTTACTTGTGACAATGACAACAAACTTTGACTTACTTCTGTCATTGGCAACAAACTTTGATTTACTTGTGACAATGACAACAAACTTTGACTTACTTGTGTTATGGGTGACAATAACACTGGTCATGTGATCCACTACCCCATCAGTTTTTGATTTACTTGTGACAATGACAACAAACTTTGACTTACTTGTGTCATGGGTGACAATAACACTGGTCATGTGATCCACTACCCCATCAGTTGTATCTTCGCCTCTGATCGTGATGGCCAGAGATGACCATGGCTTTACATTGGTCAGTTCGAAAGAACGAACCTGGTTTAGCAGTGAGATTTCCTGGGGACGGTGGTGGAAACTTTTAACAATGGATAGACATCGGTTGTACTGGATGCTACGGTAATAATGGATATGCATCGACCGTCCAAGGTGTAAGGTAGCAGTGGGAGGACAGGTCGGACGGGCTGTCCAATGTGTTAGAATTACAAGGATGGATTTCGGCTGTCCCAGATGTTAGGATAACAATAGATGGACATCGCATGTCCAATATGCTAGAGTAGCATGGATGGACCTCGGCAGTGTCAGATGTTAGGATAACAATGGATGGCCATCGGCTGTCCAAGACGCTAAGGTAGCGTGGATTGACCTCGGCAGTGTCAGATGTTAGGATAACAATGGATGGCCATCGGCTGTCCAAGACGCTAGAGTAGCATGGATTGACCTCGGCAGTGTCAGATGTTAGGATAACAATGGATGGCCATCGGCTGTCCAAGACGCTAGAGTAGCATGGATTGACCTCGGCAGTGTCAGATGTTAGGATAACAATGGATGGACAGCGGCTAATACATTAATAACTAATTCCTCAACTGTTCAAATCTCAAGTTATTTATTTAATATTTTATTATTAAAATTGAATCAATATCTAAATAGATACGGCTGCACATATATGGCAGGTGCGACACTGTTGTAGAACTAGTGTGCTATTTATTGTTTGAGGCTGTTTAATACCAACATCATCGCTGAGTCCTTGGCCCTAGTCAACTTGAGATGAATGCAGTTGAAACATGTGACAACTCAGTTGAAGCTCAGACTTCAACATACACGATCGTATCACAAAACTTAATGGGACACTCTAATTGTCATCTCATGTGTAGATAATTTCATGTCATCCCACAGCCTAAAACAACTTATGAGAAATTTTATCCTGAGCCCTTTTCATCCTTATTTTTATCGTTACGATCATTCATTTATTCCTTTTCTTAGTTATGTTTTCAGAAATTCGTTCAGTCGTTTCCGCTTCGTTGCATTTTGCACACACACATTTCATAGCTTGGTACCCTATAACATGCGTGTGTACACACATTAGATCACCTTTATACCCTACCACTTTGGTTGTACACCATATACCCAATCAATCAGCATGTAAACACACGTCACGTGCATTCATACTCATCATTAATCATCTACACATTCATAAGTATCTTTATATTATCCTGTCATTTAGTTTATACGCAAATACATTAAGTATAGTTATACCCTATCATGTATCTATCATACCGTTATACCCTATCATGTATCTATATATACCATACCCACAAAGTGGGGTCTAAACTATAACTAGTGGTTTACGTCAGCCTATTCTCTGTAATGTTAAACCTAAGACTTCACTGCCTTTTTAAGTTTAGCTGACATGGGGAGCAGGGTTACTTTCAGCGATATCTCCGGGAGGGGGAGGGGCAATGACCCCGGGGAAAGCCAAGTGCCACCCCACGGAGCAAAATATGTCCAACAATAAACCAACTGGCACTCCCCCCCCCCCCAACTCTGAAATGCCCCCCACCCACCGGGGGGGGGGGATTTTATGAAAGAAACACTGATGGGGAGGGACCGGTCTTTCAGTTTACCTGTATGATTGTTAGTGATTGGTGACTCTACCTGCTTGGGAGTGATTGGTGCATCGGCACAGTCGCCAATCCTGAAGTACTCCGCAATGAGGTCGTACTTGAGCGTCTTGGTGGTGTAGATGTCCTCTATGTCCCAGGCGGCAATGATGTGACCCAATAGCGCCTTCCGTGACAACCTCAGGTAGGAGAAGATCCGAGAACCTTTTATTTCAGACAAAATGAGAATGCGTTTGTATGAGAAAGCCGTCAAGATGGACGGCCAAAGCAAGAGTAATTTGGAAGTCAAAAAGTTGGACTCGTTGGCAGCCCATGTCCCACATATTCTGTTTGTTGCGTTCAATAACAGAGGTAATCAATTATTTTTTAAAATTAATGTTCAAGCATTAAACGTGAAAAACTTTGTCTCTTCAAATTTTATGGCGCGCTGCTCAGTTGTTTTACTTTGATTGTCGCAAGATGATGGTCTCAGATTCATGCCAGTATCACCATCATGTTAGAGATCTGCGGCCGCACACAGGAATCACCCAAGTGACGCACACAGGCTTTGTCCTAATGAAGGATACAGGGTTGTCCCAAATTAAGGATACGGGATTGGCCCCAATGACACACACAGAATTGTCCCTAATAAAGGACAAATGATTGACCCCAATATAGGACACAGGATTGACCTTAATGACACACACATGATTTGCCCTAATAAAATACACAGGATTAGCCCTAATGAAGGACACAGGATTGGCCCTATTTAAGGACACATAATTGGCCCTAATGACACACACATGATTAGCTCTTATGATGCAAACAGGATTCGCCCTAATGGATGACACAGGATTGGCCCTAATGGATGGCACGGGACTGGCCTTTATGGCACACACATGATTAACCCTTATGAGGCAAACAGGATTGTCCCCAATGATGGATGACACATTATTGGCCCTAATGTATGACACAGGATTTGTCTCAATGAAGGACACAGGATTGGCCCTAATGGGTGACACAGGATTTGTCACAATGAAGAGCACATGATTGGCCCTAATAGATGACACCGGATTTGTCCCAATGAAGGACACAGGATTGGTCCTAATGGGTGACACATGATTTGTCACAATGAAGAACACATGATTGGCCCTAATAGATGACAACGGATTTGTCCCAATGAAGGACACAGGATTGGTCCTAATGGGTGACACATGATTTGTCACAATGAAGAACACATGATTGGCCCTAATAGATGACACAGGATTTGTCCCAATGAAGGACCCAGGATTGGTCCTAATGGGTGACACAGGATTTGTCCCAATGAAGGACCCAGGATTTGCCCTAATGGGTGACACAGGATTTGTCCCAATGAAGAACCCAGGATTTGCCCTAATGGGTGACACAGGATTTGTCCCAATGAAGGACCCAGGATTTGCC